GAAAAAGCAGCCTGATGGCTCTTTTCAGAAAGTTCCCAAGATTCCCAAGCAAGAACAATTCTACAGTCCACGGGGAGAACTGCTTCCCTCTCCGACCTTGACCGACCTCGTTCCCTGGATGGTCAACAAAGGTTGGGAGTCCAGAGTAGATGTGGGAAAGTTCTTTTACACCTGGGTGCCTGATGAGAAATACATCATGCGTTTGTACGATGAAGGCTTTCTGCACCCTGCCCTCACCGACTTTGAGAAATACATCTCTGAGTTCTATGAGGTGCCGCTGGGAGAGTGGATGTATGGATGGGATTTGGATCCCATTGAGGACGTGATTGACCTAGTGCATTTCCTCGCCACCCAGCGGAAACTTGCCACCGACAAGAATGAGAAGGATGTTGTTGGGGAGATCAAGAAGGATGCGGGGGTCAAGGGAGAAGGTTCCTGGGGATTCTGCAGTTCGTTTTCGGCATCGGAAAAAAGGGCCGGAGCTTCAGAACCAAAACCAAAAGCCTACCGAGGCCTGGACTGTGAAATGGGCACCTTTGACTCAGAAAGGGTATCTAGATTTCCTTGATTATTGCAATGGCCAAGTCTCATGGCCCAAGAACTCACGGTTAGTGCCTATGGAGTCTCAGCCAAGCCTTGACAGAAGAGAAGGAGATCTGATAAAGTGGCGGCCCATTAGACCCGGAGAGACACGCTACTTGTTCGAATCCTTCTTCTGTTGCCAGGCCCTTGAGAACATGAACCTGCCTGAATTGATCAACTACGCCAAGAACTATGACATGCAAGAAGGAATCCCGGATACCACGCCTGAACATGTCCTTGCAACCATATGGGCCATTAGTGACATGTGGGACAAGTATGGTGTCGACCAACCTGATGACGTTGCCTGGTGGTTGACACAGGAGTCGGGGTCCCAGATGTGACACCGAAAAAAATCCATAGAATGTGCCAAACAAGCTTAGATATTTTGCGGCCTCCCACCAATTTATTCCTTTCAATTTGTATCAGGTCATACTGGGTTCCTGGTGGAGACGTTCCTCCAGCTGCTTCCAAGGAGGCTTGCACAACACTTTTTCAACAAAATTCATGTCAGTATTGCTTGTAAGTCAATTTGCCACCCTGGGTCCAGTCCTCGACCCATCCGCCAAGATTGCACAAATAGGCCAAAGAAGATTCTTCGCTGCCTGCCAGATCCGAGGCCCCACCAGTGACTGGGCTCATTTTCTGTAGGGTTGCCGTGGGAATCAACATTATTGATTGGGGTGATTGCTATATTTATTTTCCATGATTTTCACAAAACATTTCGTCGTTTGACAGTCTGACATAAAGTTTTCAACATTCGAAAAAACAACCAACCTTTCAAATAATTTCTGAGGCTGCCTATTTCATGGATGTCCCCAAGACTGAACATTCGTGCGGTCATCTACTCGAGAAGGACCTGCTTGAGGACATTAGCCAGAGAAAGGTTAGGCCCATTAATCCACATGCCCAGCGCCTGCTGGCAGCCCAAGCTCGGGAAGCCAATCCAGCCAAGGCGAAAGCCAAATCGAAGACCACACCTGCTGCAAAGGCCAAGTCAGCCACCAAAAAAAAGCAAGAGTTCAAGGGTGACAGTGGTGACGATCATCACACAGGTGCGGAACCCCCCAAAAAGAAAGCTAAGAAATCTTCCGATGGCGGGAACGAACCACCGCCAACCCGCACAGAGTATTCCCGAGCAAAGAAGTCTTTCATTGATCAGATTCTTAGCAGCACCGATGTGGCATCTTTCGACACATATGTGAGATAAAGTCACACTTGTATGCAATTAAATTGCAAAGGAATACGACTCCAAAAGTTGACAGCATGTATACATATATATCTATCTACCTACCTACCTATCTATCTATCTATCTTTCTATCTATCTATATATCTATCTATCTATCTATCTATCTATCTATCTATCTATCTTTCCATCTATCTATCTATCTATCTATCTATCTATCTATCTATCTATCTATCCATCTATCTATCTATCTATCTACCTACATGTATCTATATCTATCTATCTATCTACCTACATGTATCTATATGTATCTATATGTATCTATAAGTATCTATATGTATCTATATGTATCTAGATGTATCTGTATGTTTATATAGGCAAAGTTATTTGTATATGGGTGTTGTTGGAAAGAAAACATGTTTCACTCAGGATCAAAGCGACCGAGGGAGACGTTTGGTCTCTCAGGGAGCTGCACAAGAGGTCCGGCCCTTTGGTGATATGGGTCAATGGAATTGTTTTCAGGTTAGCTGGATTTCAGATTAAACTCGGGAAACCGATTGTGCATGCATGTGTTTCCTCTTTTTCTCTTCGTTCTCTGTCTTACTTTCTCTCTTTCTCTCTTTCTCTCTTTCTCTCTTTCTCTCTTTCTCTCTTTCTCTCTTTCTTTCTTTCTTTCTTCTTTCTTTCTTTCTTACTTTCTTTCTTTCTTTCTTTCTTTCTCTCTCATCACATGACTTGGGCACTTGTTTAATTCCAATCTGACAGTATCTAAACTGAAACATTCCTTGCAAGAATGTCACAACACCCGCCCAGGTGGAAGGAATCGGACGTGTTCAAAGGACTGATCGAGGAGATGGGGGACAAAGAGGCCCATCGCCGTCGCTACATTTAAAATGTGTGGAATGGAGAAGGTGTCATATCTACCAGGACCCAACAAAATGTGCTCTTCAAAACATGTCTTGGAATCTCAAACCATTAAAATGTTAGGATTTAGATTGATACAAAGTTCTGCAACTGGCATTTTTTCATCTATCAGTTTTCCCGCAGTACTTCATATGTTTGGGTGAGCACATCCGTTGGCTCCTTTTTTGGGGTTGTCGACTTTGACTGATGTCAAATTTCAAGTTTGGGGTTGGCAAGTGAAGCTGATGAAATCGCAGCTTACAACACTGCGCAAACATTGCGCCCTGCCTGCGTCTGCCCGTGCTGGACATTCAAGCAGCTTGCAGCGGCCAAAATATATAGCATAGCCCTGCGCAATCCTTATTCCACAGTTGCACAAGGCGTTGATCTTGGCTGGAATCCCACAAATGTAAACTTGGGGTCATGTCCTCAATTTGTGTTTGCTTGGCTCTTAGTTGGGCCACATCTTGACTTCTTTTTCCCAATGTTTGCACGAGGGCTCAACTGTGTACACCTTGGGTTGTGATGTGAAGATGAAATTTTCCCGTCTTGCGCTGGTGTTGACGGCTTTGAATGCAAGCCGGATGCCCAGTGTTTGATTGCAGGTCCTTTGGCTTAACGATCAAATGATATCTTGCTTGGTCTAAGGCTTGCCGCCCATTACTGATGAGCAGCAGCTGCATCTTCTAGAAGTCTTTGCTGGAGTCCGCTTTGTTTTGATGATGTCTTGGTTGACATTTCTCCCAATTGAACTGAAAACAATCAGAGCTATAGAAACCAAGCCGTTTCTTTCGTATTTAGTTTCAACCGTATGCCTGTAACCAAAATCTGCACACTTTCTCACACACTTTCTCAGGAGAAGCCATTATTGCCAGTGGATGCCGCTTCTTTGATCTGAAAGCGGAATCAACAGATGTCAAACCCTCAGTTTCCGAACTCTGGTATGTGATCCAATTGCTCACAGGCCTGTAGGTGAGAAGAACTAAGCTTTTAACAAGTGACCTGGGTAGTTTTTTTTGGAGAAACAGAACGCAATTCAGGTCACTTCTTGAAATTGGAAATTCTACGCCTATATGAGACCCAATTGGCCTACAATGCCTGAAAACATCATTGCCTGATTTGAGGTAGAACAACACAGCAGGATGGACCTTCTTCGGGGAATCGGGTTCATGGTGACATTACAAATGGCAGTGGCCTGAGAAAACAACCAACAGACTTGTGAACCTGGTTTGTGGGGCACGTTTTGGGTCTTCGCTTAGTTACGCCGGGTGCTTCCTTATGGTCTTCTATGGATGGGAATACCGTGCAGCAGTTGGATCTTCTTGCTTGGGCCTCAATACACCACACCTCTGTTCTGTGGAAATGCCACTTTTCTTGGGTGGGCTTACCCACATATGCAGAAAGAAAAACATTAAAAGGAATGTTGAACTGTTTCAGGCTCATCAACTTTTGCTTTCCTACAGGTCACGTGGATCCACACACCGGGGATGGTTCAGAAGTCGAGGCCTGGGGGTGCGCTTGTGCATATTGTTTCATTGTCACTGCAGTCTCAATAGAGTCAACCCCTATGAAGGCAATCTTCGCTTCGTAAACGTTTGTCGCCAAAACAAGCTGGCCCGAAGAGTTGGCTACTTGCGGGGTCCCCATTGAATGTGTTTGAGGCGATCCAGTGAGGTCATTACAAACATGATCCATATATCCAGGCATCAATCAATCGCTTGATCCACTGAGGATGTACTATGCGTACAGGAAGAACATCCAGTATGTATTGGAGAACCCTCTCAGCAGTTTGGTGTGGAGGTACCGAAGCCTCAGAGAAACTTTTCAAGCACTGGGCTGTTGTTGGATTTTGTTGGTATTTATTTGCAGGAATCTGAAAATGATTGTGAGTGTCACTGCGCATATATGGCTAAGAAACTGTTGCGGAAGCACAATGCGAAATTTGTGACGGTATCTTTGGGCCAGCTTGGCTCATGCACGCAAAAGCAAGTGGCTAATCTGCAGTCGTGCAATATATATATATATATTTGTTTATTTATTTATATTTCTATGTATATACATGCATGGCTGCTGTTGTGTTTGCACATGTGCCCTTGATTCTTTTTGGGTACTTTACATGCCCTGTCTTTGTCGAAATTTTGGCGCCTTAAGGTGAAACTTGTGGGTACTGCCCGGTGGTTGAAGGAGCTGGGTGCACCTTTGACACCTCTTCGAAAGCAACAGTTGAAGCGTATCAAAAGTTTCTTGAAGTTACAAACTGTTCGAGTCTACACATCTTCTTCGGGTGTACGGCGCTGTGTCGGGGCCCCATAGATGCTTTCAAATTGACATTCATGGAACGCTCTGACCTTGTTTAAGTCTTCTCCCTAATGCGGGTAAATATTTAACTATCATTGATTATTTTGAGCTTAAAACAAAGGATGCAACTTTGATGCAACACCTGTCGCACCTAAGAACCTTTATTGGGATTCAACATGATGATCAACTCAGGCCGGAGGTAAAGATCTCCGGGCTACTCAGAAATACCCTGGTCAGTTGGGATTGAAGGCAATCACCTGAGTTATCCTGTGATCGTGTTTTGTGCATTCTGCCGTCCATCCACTGTCACTTGCCCAGCCACGAATGTCCAAGGTAGGGGAGCTCTTGCAGAAACAGCTGGAGGAACATCGCCAGCAGGCTTCCCTTATGAGTGACGAGGGTATGGATTTTTGTGATGACAGCTCGAGTGATTCCGATGATAGTGGTTTAGAATCACTTGTGAACGGTAAAACAAACCGTTCGGCCGTTCGGGGTGACCTTTCGCGCTGAAACCAATCAGTGACTCAACTTCGGGTGAAAATATGTGCTTTGAAATGTTGTTTCTGAGCTGTTGCCTTGACAATCTTCAGTATTGAGGATCAAAAGCATCGTTTTTCAGGTGGAAAGTTGAAAAACCAAACCGTGACATTCCGAGACGTTTCGTGACATGGCATACTTAAATAAGCAAAGGGACCGTGACAGACCGTGACACGGCATGACACCGGGGGGGGTCCTGGAAAGGGCCAGGGAACTCACTTCCGCAACCACATTTTTGGATCTGACTTAAAGGATTTGCGCAGGCCATCCCAGTGACTTCAAATGAGCATGGAAGGTTCTACACCCAGCGCCCCCTTGTCTTCTAGTGAGCCGGCCAACGCCGTGGGATCTGAGTCCACCAAAGGTGGGGACAAGGGCGGGGGTAAGACCAAGACCGACAGTCCTACAAAGGGCCAGAAGGGTATGGAGAAGGGTAAAAGCAAAAAAGGCATTGAGAAAGGAACCAAAGGGAAGGATATGGAGACAGAGGGTGCCAAGGGCAACAATGCTGGAACTTTTTCACAAAAAGGTTCCAAAGGCAAGGTGAAAGCTGCTGAGTACATCGAGAAGGGCACCAAAGGTAAGCGCAGCACCTTTCAGAAAGGCGCTCCCAACACCAAAGGTAAGGGGGCAGCGGAGATTGAGGAGGGCAAGGGCAAGAAGGGAACTTTGAACCTGAAGGGAATTTTGAAAGGTGGCTATGCCAAAGGCAAGGACAAGGGTAAGGCCAAGAGTGACGTCAACACCGTTGATCAAGGTACCGAGGAGACCAGGCTTAATGGAACAACGGAGACTGGGGAGGGCAAGGGCAAGAACGGAACCTTGAAGGGCGACTATGCCAAAGGCAAGGACAAGGGTAAGACCAACGGTGACGTCAACACAGTTGATCAAGGTACCGAGGGCACTGGAGGTAATGGGACAACGGAGATTGAGGAGGGCAAGGGCAAGAAGGGAGCTTTGAAGGGTGACTTTGCCAAAGGCAAGGACAAGGGTAAGACCAAGGTTGATCAAGGTACCGAGGGCACTGGAGGTAATGGAACAACGGAGATTGAGGAGGGCAAGGGCAAGAAGGGAGCTTTGAAGGGTGACTTTGCCAAAGGCAAGGACAAGGGAAAGAACAAACGTGGTGCAAGCACCTTTGACTTTGAGACCAGCGCCCCGAACACCGAAGGCAAGGATATTGAGGAGGTCAAGGGAAAGAAGGGAACCTTGAAAGGCGACATGACCCATCACAAAGGTGGTGCCAAGGGCAAGGACAAGGGCAAGAACAAGGGAGGTGCCATCGCCTTCCAGGAAGGCACCCCAGTCGCAGAAGGGAAGGGAACAGCGGAGACTGAGGAGGGCAAGGGCAAGAAGGGAAAGGGCGAGTATGAGTACGACAAAGGTTTTGCCAAAGGTGGTCACATTGACAGGTCTCGAACTTTCGACTATGGGAACAAAGGCAAGTCCGACAGCAAGGGCAAGAGCAGCAAGGGCAAGACGGACAGCAAGAGCGAGACGGAGATGGACAGCAAGGGCAAAACGGACGGCAAGGGGATTGGCTCTATCCAACAAAGTCCCTGCAAGGTTGGTTTTGGGGATTGGGTTCGATTGGCATTATATATGGCTTTGAAGAATGGGGTTCGCAATCTTGGGGATCCAGTCATCATCAATTATCAATAAAACCTAGGTGGGTGAATGACAATATTCGCGAACAAAATCCTTAGGGCTGGGGCACTTACGATGATTGGGATGCATGGATGATTGCTACAATGGCCATATTACCTTCTGAACCTGTTGTTGTGGAGGTGAATAGCGATGAAGCAACAACCACTCCCCCACCCAAGAGAGCCCGTGGCTCCGATGAAGGCTGGTTGGATTGGTCCTTTGAAAGTGGCCTATACCGCCCATGGCATTACCAATGGTGGAGTCAAAAAACTGTGTTCATTCAATTTTTCAATTTTTCAATTTTTCAGCCATGATGTTTGCCCGCCAGGGGCTTCTGCTGAGAAAACTGCGTGACAGCCCCAGCACCATGTGTTTCGAACAACTTGTGGGTTCAACTTGTCATGTGTTTTTTTTCAACCAAGAAAAGCTTTATATCTGTCTCATCCACCACACTGCCAGGCCAAACGATGCCCAGGTGCGTCCATCGGCGCCATCTCGAAGCAATAGCACAGTGTCGATTGCAGGGATTTTGATCCTTGGATGCCGTGTCATGTATCATTTATATATATATTATATCATAGTAAAATACATACATACATACACATATATATATATATATGCATATACCCTTTGCTCTTTGATTCCTCTGGCTTCAAAACAAGATGTAAGAAGTCATACCCCAGTGATGCAGCTCCACAACCCAGTGCTGCGAGGACAGATGGCGACAGCAAAACTGCGAGGGTTAAAGTATTGACCCCGGAACAGAAACAGGCAGTGCTGGAGCTTACATCTCCGGATCAGGTTCCAATTCAGGAACGTCGTCGCCAATACAATGCTATCAACAGGAGATTCGAACGTCCGGGAGCGGAGAAAACATATCCTCCCGGGCTTATTCAAAAATGGCAGGATGCCACTGATGGCCAAAAGAAGTTTCTTGTAGCAACATATGGAAATACAGTAATTATTTGATGTCGTTTGTTGTATTTTTTTGCTACCCGGTACCCTTTCGCAACCCGACTTGGGACTTAGGGAAACTTCGTGATTTAAATGGCTTACGCCCGATCTCCATCAGGTTCGAATTCTTGAAGTGCTTCTTGGAGGACCCCAGCTTCCAATCGATGCACATTGAAAGCTTCTACAAAGAGTTCTAGCCTGAGTCCAACCTGTCATGCCAATAGCGAAGAAATCTTGATTCTGATTGTATTGAACAAATTGTCAAGTGCAACCAGATGAACATTTTTCAGCTATGCATCAGTGTATATACCAAAGCAAGCAATTAAGAGAAGGAGGACCATGCAGTCTGGTTTCAATGTTTTTGGCTCTTATAGGAATCCTCTTGGGGGCCAATCCGCCTAAAATCTTTGACTATGAGGCAGCATGTGCAGAAGCAAACCATTCGCTACATTGAATTGCCTCTGGACGAATTGGAGAAGAGATTTGATCCCCAATGGCTGAAAGACAAAGTCATTCCGGGTTCGGCCCTCATTATGATTTCATTGGTCCAATACGTTCAGGCCAAACCATGATTGAGAACCATGTGGTGCAATCAATCAGATTTTGCTTTCTGAGGTCAGGCTGGAAAGCCACACCCTCAGGACCCAACGAACCCGAGGAAAAGAATTTACAAAGTGTTTGACAAAATCGAAGAGTCTGCATCTGACCAAGCTGCCACAGGCTTTGGGCTCCATGGTCGGTCCAAGGTGGCTGACAACAAAGCCCAGCGCCAAGCCTTGGCGGATGCACTTACCACCAAGGCGGCTTCCACTCTGAAACCCTCAAGTCTTGATGGTTTGTTTGGTGCAGCCGCCCCCTCCAAAAAAGATACCAAGACTCGAAATAAGAAGGTGCCTAAGGAGTTGACTCCCGAAGAAAAACAAAAGAAAAACTTTGATGCTGACATGAAACAGTCCCTGGGCTCAATTCCCGGGAATATGTAGACAGAGAACTGTATGTTCGTATTGGCTTATGTGTGTGATCTCATTTATCGATGATTCTTTTTTGGGGTCTATTTGAACCTGTTTCTGATCGTGATCGACTTTATCGGAATTCACTAACATTATTCGTATACAGCTTCAAGGAGATCTACCTTAGGTCTTTGTTTCTAAACCTATTGCATGTGATGGGATTCAGCTCCCAACGGATCACTCTAATGAACCATTTCTTGTCTAGTGTGTGTCAATTTGCAATTTTCGCTGCACTGTTGTCGCAATCTGTAAAGGAGGATCACGATTTGGTTCGGATGGAACTGTTGCAACTAGCAAGGACGTAGAAAATACTCTACTCCACTGGTTTTCTCGCCTGGTCATTCACAAGTTCCTGTCAGGTTTAACTGGAGTGTTTTTGCACGTGAGATGCATTCCACATCAATAATCCGATAAGATATTTCTGAGCAAGTGTGTGTGTGTGTGCGTGGGCATATACTGCACAGCTCCTCCATTCTTTCCAGCAGTGGACACAACCTGAATCCCTCACCTCACACTTCCTCTTTCTTTGTTTTCTGAACGTCGTTGGGCCCCACAAAGTCTGCTGGTCAGTTTAAACAAAAACGTTGGAGTCCAAAAAAAGGATGGGGGGAAACTCGAGCCGCATTTCATGTCTTGCTAAAGGATTGGAACTTTGGCGAACAAAGCCCGGACCACTGCCCAGAAGTTGACTGATAGTGGCATCATGCACCAGCAGGCAAGCATCATGCCAGGGAAACGTATTGCGTGAACCTTTTCTTCAAGTTTGCTTAACAGATAACAAACTTAGACCTGTCGATCCAGGCTGTGATTGACAACCTTGGGTGGCACCACAAGGAATTGATGCGAATCTCGGATGAGCGCAGCCCTCAAAGATGTCTCACAAAAAACCTTGTGATGAAAACAGTTGTTCCTGTGCAGACATGTATAATCTGTATACATATATAATGTGTGTATATATATATACTTATTGATTCGTTTCGAACGAAAATATTCATACATGATTTTCTTCATTTATTATATATACACACGTATATATATATATACACACGTATATATATATATATATATATATACGTGTGTTCGATGCAGATATGGATGTAGGTAGCAAATCACAGCCGGAAAGAAAAAAACCAGCTTCCCAGGCTCAATAATTTGGTCTTCAAAGGGAACCCCACGGATGTGCTGATCAAGCACTTGGACTATTACAGAAAGTCCTTTGAGGCGCCCTTTCCAGTCACAGTCAAGTTGCTAGTGCAAATTGCGCAGCGTGAGTTAATAGCCAAAAAAGCGTCCTGAGCGCAACAGGCTGCAGAAACCAGTGTCAAAGATGCGGAAGTCATCGTGCAGTCTCATGACCGCCGTGCATTTCTAAGTTTTCACATTTGATCAAATTTGAGAAACAAACTTGTGTGTCTTTTGCATCAAACTTCAACCACATATATCGCAGTTTCTTTGAGGTGTGAAAGCCGAAAAACGAAAGGCCGAGAACACAGGAAAGGCGAAGGCAAAGGCCAAAAAGAAGGCACGAACCTTGAGCACAAAGAGTGAATCAGAGAAGGAGGTCCCTGTCAAGGCTGAGGAAAATGATGAAGGGTTGGATCCGGAGGAGGAGGAAGACCAGGAAGAGCAGGAAGAGGAAGATGATTGTCTCGATGGAGAGGCATGGGATGAAGCTGAAGATGAGGAAGGTGATGCCTGATGGTGCTGACATGCATCTTTTTCATGGACGTCACCTTGGGAGATTTATGTATGCCAGGTGCAAACGCGTTTTGTGCGCGAGTGTTGTGCAGTACGTATAGAGCCATGTTGACAATGCGGGTATGTCTGAAAATCAGACTCTAGGGGATGCCTGGCCAACAACTGCCAACTTAAGATCACCTGTCAGCTCTGCCCAAAATGCGTTTCAACTAGTTTCCACTGAGCTGAGTGGCTGCCATTCCATGTTTGCTGCAGCTATCCGTTCCAGCCAGATTTTCCACTGTTTCCTGAGCTGCTCAGGGGCAATCCCCCAAGGGGAGATTCCACGTGTGGTTTTGTTCAGAAAGCCGACAAATTTCAGATTTGTTGCCAGTTCCACCATGCACGAATCGTGCCAATCTTTTCTTCAATAGAAATGTAGCTACACATACATCACATTCAAGCAAGGATCTCGGAATATGTTTTTTTTCTGTGCCTTTCCATGACATCTAGCAGTGGATCAGCGTGGGTACATGCCCTCCAAAACACCGTGAAAGAGATCACAGACGAGCTCTTCAATCTTTTGGGAACAGGAAAGGTTTCTTTGTTTGCAATTTCAGAAAGATTGAGGGACATCCCAAGCAACACAAACTTCAGAAAGATTGAGGGTCATCCCAAACAACAAGAAACTTTTTTGTGAGGCAACCTTCACGGCTATAAGTTCTCTAGTCTGCGTAGGCCTCATTTTCTGATTTGCTGATCCAAGTTGCTGGTGACAACCCAAGACGCAAATATTGTCCAAGGTAAATTGCAGAAGCTCCCACATCAGCTGATACCGATCCTCAGCCAAAACCGGAGTTGAACATCTGAGTGCGAGTTTTTCCAGTTTTTTTGAAGTTAAAACACGTTTCAAAAATGAGGCGAAATATCTTAGACCTTGGTGAACGATTAGCCGCGTCTGAGAGCAGCCGTGGAGCTGCACGGGCATTTGAAAAATGGACACTCCTTCAACCATGGCGCCCTTCGGTTCAAAAGAAACCAGAATTTGTCTTGATTTCGTTTCTTGTGAACTTGTTTTTGATTGGATTTCCCACTGAGGCCAAAAACTTCCGATTCCGTTCCAGTTCTCTGTTGACTCGGTCAGGGTCTCGTATACTACAGCTTGCATTATGTTTACAACATCATGCTTCCCTCAGTTCGGTTTTGGTGTGGTTTGTAATGACAATGATTTGACATACAATGACTTAGGACTGGGATGATGAGCAAGGACGGCCCAAAAGGGTACAGTTACAAGTGCTCCTTCCTCACGAAATCATTGGTACATTCCTTCGTCAAGGTGAAACTGATCGCATGACAGGTGGCCCCGAAGCTAGTCTGTGCAGAGTATATACTATACGATACTTTTTTTTTTTAATAATAGGAGCTTCAACGCTATAAAACATCGACTGCTCATTGAATTCTATCTGAGGATTTGTCAGAGTTTTGGGAACAAGAACGTGAAACTACTTGGTTTCAAAACCACCCAGTTCTGGGTGAAATTCGGCTGCACTAAGTTTAAATACCGAGTTTCGATGATTCCAGTTGTGCGCCTTGTGCATTTGATTTCAAGTGCCTCAGCTGTAGCTCGCTCGCTGATCAAGGATCCACACACAGACCTAGCGTGCACAATACCTGTGCGGATATACGGTGACGGCGCCGAAGCGCAGAGAAGCTCTTTAAATTTAGAATTCACTTCTGGCATTTTTTTTGGTAAATCCGAGTATGACCAAACTGTCACCTCACCATTGTTTTGGCGGCATTCAGGAAAACAGAAGTTCGAAATGATCACAATTCAGTTTCCCAGATGCTCCAGCTCTGCCACTTTGCAGAACAGGATTTTGCGCCCCAGTTGCAAATCATTGTGACCTCCATGACGCTGCATCATAGCAAATCCTGAGCAGTGGATCATGCGATCCAGGTGTGCGGTCATCAACACAAACTATTCCAAGACAGAAGCAAGGACGAAGGTTCTTGAGATTTTAGCCTGGTCATTCAATGCCATGAGTTTCTAAACAGCAAGATGGTGTAGCTTAGATTCAGGTATGATGTGAGTCGATTATGATCAGCAGTATGGCACTGCGTCTTCTCAATCCTAGGTTCTGGGAAGTATCCTACACACGATGCATGGGGCCAGGAATTTTCACAGGAATATGATCGATCTCGCTTCGAACTGGCAGGTCAACCCTTCACTGACGGGCAGAAAAATTATAAGGCTGTGTTGGAGGGAATCCAAAGTGACCAGGATTACTTGCGACTGCTTTTCAACCTCAAAACAGGACCGGGACGACAACGATGCTGTCATTATTGCAGCAGCATCCAATGGGTCTCAAACAAAGTGCCTATTGGGAGAGCCTTCAACAACCACCCTGACCAATTATACACTGTCTTTGGAAATGAAGGTGATAAACCGCGACTAGGCTTTCTATGTGGTCTTTGCGTTTTTTTGGTATAAAACCCCAAGAAATTTAAAACAAAACTTGGCAGTTGCCCTATGATTCCAAGGGCCATGATGTTTTAGAAACTGCATGGGGTCCTTCCAGCTTCATCTGTTGCAGCTCAGGATCATATCTCCTGCTGATTTCCGAGCTCTCCATGGCGATTCGCCACTCTGCGACATCAGCGGGTTCGCCCCAGAAAGACCCTTGATGTGTATCCAGGTTGTTTTTGTTTTGGTATATTTGTTTCACCCTGCTTTGCCTTAAGATCAGGTTGGCATTGAAACTTAACTTTGGGGAGACTGTTTCAAGACAAAACAAAACGGACATCCCAGTGCAGGAATATACCCAGACTACATGCACATAGTTCACTTGGCATGTGGGATGGATGTCCTGACATCTGTGTTACTCGACTTGACCGATGACGGGGCCAACCTGATCCACGGCAACAGCCGTGACAGGCGTTTGCAAGAGCTCTGGCTAAGCTACAGAGATTGGTGTGAAGGAGGACGAACCTGGTTATTTGTCAAGGAACATACTTTTTCTCCAGAAGGGTGCCTGTTTTTTGGAAACCTGCCCCGTTTTAATTTTCAAAATGTTTTTGAATTTCGAGCCATTGAGCCAAAGTGAGGCGTGATGGATCGTGCTGCCAGGCGGCTGTTCACAACTGCCATACTGCGGCCCAACAACGGCTCTAAATTCTGTGAGGTTTCCCAAAGAATTTGTTCGGCCACTGCCTTTCGTTACATACTTTTTTGGATGTGCAGTCTGCTACGGACCACCAATACAAACGATGACTCTGGAAAGCTTCTTGGAAAATCTTGATTGTTAAAAACATCCGTTGTCCATTTACCTTCCCTCAAGTTACTCAAGTTTCACAAAAAAGAACTTTAGGGAAAGCCGGATAAAATATGGTGCAATTTCAATCCTCCAGATCCGTTGATATCATGGTGGCTGTACAGTCCATCTTCCAAGATCGAAACATTCTAATATTCAGATATGTGTGCAGTATTCATACATATAATATTTGTATATATACATATATATAAATATATTATGTCAGTAATATTTAGATATCTAGATAGCTACGAATTTGTCAACAAAAAGGGTTTAAACAAAACTTTTTTTTTCTTTCCTCGACGGCCGCGTGAGCACTCAGGCTCCGCTCTGGTTGCATTGGTGCTCTGGCGAGCATGGAGCATTTCCAGCTGCAACATGGCCGCTGGTTTCCAGACAACATTTCGAAGGAGTTCCAGCGCTGCTACTTGATTTACCGGGCATGTTTGAACGAGCTGGCAGTTCTAGCTGTGCAAGCTGGCCAGCTTCGATACCACCTGGGGCCTAAGTGCCACCAGTTGGGCCACTTGACCTTCCACTTTTTGCCTCGCAATCCCCGATATTTTCACGTATACCAAGACGAAGATTTTATAGCACGTACCAAACGTGTTGCTGAAGTAAGCGACCCTGTGTTTGTCTCACGACTCGCCTTGTTTCGATACATCATTCACGTATGTATGATGTGGGCCGAAGCGTGTTGACCTTCAAGAGGTCTTGGTCGAGGAAAACGTGCATTTGCTTGGCAGCAATGAAAAACAAATCCAACAGTTTTGGGTTGTTCTGGCTTTTGTTTTAAGGCTCCGCCTTATGTAGGCACACCCTTGGCTCAAGCATCTATTCCTGGACTGCTACCGTGACCGAATGTGTCCACTTTCATTGCTGTATCCACTTCCCAGCTGGTGCTGCTACCTTGTGTTGATTGATAGATGGTGGCCAGTCAACCATGCCAAATGGCTTTTCAAAGCTTTGGAAGCAAAATTTGCCATCAAGGTGTCATGGTTTTGCATCTTTCTAGTGCTGACATGATGACTTTATTAATGTCAAAAACTGCTCGGTTTTGACATTGTATACTTAGAATTTGATGGCATCTTAAATAGGATGCCTTAGCCACGCCCTGGTAGGCTTTTGCTTGTGCAGGTACTTCTCCTGGTGGAGTCGCCAGTGATTGTTGTTGACCTTGTCCACCTGGCAGCCGCAATATTCAAGATGATCTCCATTCAGCCATTCACGAAAGCTGAAGACTTCCTTGAGGGACTTCTGGAGCTGCGTGGCGTACTCATTGTTGGGCATCAGGCGCCCAAACAAATCATCCACATGCATGCCAAACATGCCAATCAGTTGCGGTTCCACTCCAAGTGCATGAGCTTGATGAGGATCCTGATCGAAGGCCAGAAACAGGCAGGCATCCAAAGGGTGTTGTATGATGCTACCCTTGCCAATCTTCAGGATACGCTCTGTAGCTTCCTCATACCAGGCACGTGGGGCATCACAAAGGCCATAGATGGGTTTCACCAACTTCATCAACTTTCCGCTGTCTCGCTCAATCCCCACGATGGTTTCGGCATCTTTGGGAAGGCGCACCCATATCTCACGCGTCCCATCAGCCTTGAAGCCCTTGCCTTGCAGGAAGGCTGTGCTCACATCACTTGTGAACGGCTCCATGCCCAGCATAGTTGCCACTGTAAGGATCAATCCCCTTGACAGTCTGGTC